TATTATTTTTATAAGATGTTTTTACTATGAATACACACAGAGTCTGTTGTGTGTTGTTCTTGCTCCAAATTAAGTTCAAACATTATTCGGGCACGCTTGTTTATCGGCTGCTTGCCGCCGGCTGCCCCCGCACGAGGAGTGAGGGGAGGGGGGGGGGGGGTTCTGTGTGTGTGTGTGTGTCTGGGATGGCAAACAAAGTGGTTTGTTTGTGTCACGTTTACGAGCACACGATCTCAATACGAGACGGCAGCATTAGCTCTTGTGTTTTCTATTTTGCTTCCAGTCATTCGCTAGTGAAAGTATTTCAAAATGGATCGCATGACTCTGTTGATGATGTGATTGTTTTCACTACTGTTCATAACACTATCTAACACTGGTCAACAAAGTGCGCTAAATGGAGTGCAAATCATCTTTAATATGATATGTGTATATATCTAAGTAAATCAAATTTGATTGAGTTTCGAGGTTTTGGGCTTCATTTGGAGTTGCACAAATCTCTTGAGAAAGTAAGGATATCTTCGGCACGCCGAAGACTTAATACCCTTGCTCGCAAAATTCTAAGTTTCTTGAAATATCTTCCAAACAGATTATTTTGCCATATAAGATCCTACCATTCCACCGATCTTGCCTATAGCAGCTATATTTTATAGTGGTTCGATGTTGATAGGATTTTTCAAACATATAGGGGGCATAGTGAAACTCTTAAATGTCAAGTTTTGGTAAGATATCTTGATAAATAAAAAAAGTTCTGCTCACAAGTACTTAGTTTTTGAGCGATCGTTCCTATGGCAGCTATATGATATAGTGTTCCGATGTTGATAGAATTTTGCATACATATGAGGATCTGGGTATAACTTAAAAATGACCAGTGTGGTCAAGATATCTTGATAAGCCAAAAAGTTTTTTATACCAGAACCTACTTTGCGACCGATCGTTCATATGGCAACGATTGTTTAAAGACTTAACAATACTTTGCTTTACTTAGTAGTTTTTATGATTATAAACAATAAACAATTTTTGTTCGAACCAAATCCCTAATATATGTTAATATATTTTCTAATCTGTTCTAGGACAACAAAGAAATTGCTTTGAAAATTAAGTGAGATACGATAAAACTTAAAAGAATTGTACGAGCTCCAACTATAATATTTCATTATAGTTAGAATAACTTATTACATTATTTGAAAGATGCAGAACATGTAATCTTTTTTAGGAGTCCTGTTACCCTACTATTGTTAAGGAGACACAGAGCCAAGTTATTTTTATGCTTTGTGCAACCTATATTTATAGCTCACAGCGCATCTATTTATTTTAAGCTTCATACAAGGGGCATGTTTAGGTCTTTATGTATATCATCATTGCCCACATACAAAGGCGCACCTGTAATAGTTCATGGGGTCATAGACGGATAACTTTAAAGTAATTTCTATTTTGGGATTTTCTTTAGTTTCCCATAGCTGCATATAGCTTATGTCCAGTTCTTAGAAGGTCTTTGAATCACATTTTCAGCCAGTAAATTTTTGCTTTGATTTTATATATTTATATGCTTCTTTATTTATTTTGCAATAAAGAAAATGCTTTGCCATTTGTCAAGTGAATATTCGGTCTATCAGCGCTATTTTCCTTAGAATCAAATGCTTTCCACAAGATCTTTTATCTCCGAGTGCAGCGCAATGTGCTGCTGCGTCTTACGGACTACGGCAAAGGTCAAAGAGCTTGTCGTTTTTTTTATTTTTTTTGTGCTGATAAGCAAGTGTGTGGCCTGCAATTGAATAGAATGTGTATTTAATTAGCTCAGAATGTGCCGCTAGTTACACACACGATTCTTACGCATGCCTGTAAATACATAACCGCAGCCAGAAGCGCACATGGAACATTGGGAGCTGTCTGTGTGTGTGTGTGTGTGTGTGTGTGTGCCCTTGGCATGGGGGCCCACTTGGAGTGTGCGGCATCTTTCAACTGCAGCGCCGGCATGCGGAGAACAATGCAGGCAGCCACAACTTCTGCGGCTTTTCAAGCTGTTCCGTCATAACCTTTGCCGCTAGCCCCACACCACCCCACCCCACCCCTTAGGCACAGGGTGTGCCAAGAATTTTGCTGCAGAGACACCACAGCCGGCGGGGAGCTGGGCTAATTAAGTACATGGCAAATACTTGCTTGGAATGGCCTGTTGCGGCGGCAGGAAATCGAAGCTGGCTAATGGCGGGGCCTGGACAGAGGACAGAGACTGGCCGGAAATATGCATGGCTTGGCCGGGCCGGGCTGGCCTTTTGGCCAGCTCCAAATGGGCAAAAAATTTGAATGCGCCCTGTCAGGAAGAATTGGGAGCTCTGTTGCCAACATAGACCAGCGGCGTGTGCAGCCGACCACAAACAAAAAAAAAGTAAACAAAAACAAAAACCAAAAGCAAATTAATTCAGTTGCAATGTTTGCAAGTTTTCGTTATTTCCACTTGCTAAACACACATGGGGTATTTTGATTTAGCAATCAAATTTGTGACGCATAGAAAAGGGAAGTGACAGTTCTCGTTTGGGTGGAAATAAAGTATTTTTTAATCAAATATATATAAGGGCTTGCTGCAAATCTCTAGGAATTCACATTTCACCCATTTTCCGCCAATGAAAAGTTGAAATCCACCCGTACTATTTCGAACTACATTAACAACATATTTTACATAGATAATCGAAAATAAAGAACCGAACGGTGGAATCAAAAGTTTCCCTTCATTTAAGTTCCGCGGTGTGAAAATTAATCCTCCATTTATTCAACCTTTGACCTGCATTTATTATCCAAAAGGGATACATTTTGCGAAAAGTGTGAAATACGTATCAAAACAATTTTCACCACGATCTTTGAAAATGATTTTGAAACAGTTCGAATGGTAAGCATAGAAGTTTTATGCAACCGTTTTCCACGCTTATTCCACACAAGCGAGTGGAATTTCCCAGAAATCTGTCTATATTTGCAGCTCCTCTAGTGCATCAAATTGATCAACAATTTGTCTAGCAGGATAAATAGAAATATATATAGATATATATATTATATCTCTATCTGTATATCCATATATAGCTACATATATACATCTATAGAATAGCCCTATTTTAAGGATTTCTTTTATATATTTTCTATATATCTATATTCTTTTTTTTTAACCTTTTGTTGCAGTTCCGAAAACAGGTTAAATGGTCGCTTGTCTCTACAGTCTTATAGATTGGCATCGGCTTATTAGGGTATTAGAGGGTATTACAATCTTCGACCTGCCATGCATATGTTATTTTGCTTGTGTGTTTTTTTTTCGCCGTTTTGTTTGCTTTGTTCAGTGCATGAGTATTTCGCCAAGCGGATCACACACTGAACGCACACGGGTCAGCAACGGTGCCGAGTTCAGGTTCAGCTGACGACACTCCCGACTAACCTCGACTACATATATATATATTTGGTGTACATGTGTACTTGGACGGGGTATATCTGTATAATAGGCGTGACAAGCGCGTTACGCTCGGCTGGCGCCTAAAAAATAATCAAAGACAAAGACGCTCGCGTAGATGACGATGTTGATAATGGGGCGGGCGGCGTGGGCGGAGCAGGAACTGACAAGCCAGACGTAGCTATGATAATTACGCCGTGCTCAGCTCCGAACTCTGGCCTGCCTAACGAGCACCGACTTCCCAGCACCACCCAGCTCCGAATTGTATCAGCCCGGCACGTAGTATAATGGGGCACAATATAATGAACGATAATATGGGCAGCATGAATTTTCAAAAAAATGCAAAAAACAAAACAAACAAGTTCAGTGAAAGAGCGGGCCAAGAAATTTGGATTTACAAATGGTTGCGTGGGCGGAGAAAGCGTTTCCATCGTCTAACTCGAAACCTCATAAAGCCCCAGCTTGAGACTTTCTGTGGAATATACTACACACAATAAACTGGGACTGGGGAATGTTTTTATATTTTCATTTTATCTTTCGTGAATTCCAGTTTTTTGTTCGACCAATTTAGCTTCCTTTTGCCCATTTACGAGCCTATCGAGTTACATTAATTGATAATGCATTAATGGAAACCACTTGGGGTTGTTTTTTTTTCTCAATATCTCTTCTCACAATACATATATATATTTATAAAGATTATTATTGTTTTATACATATACATTTATATCATATATTATATACATGTGTATTTTAGTAAAATATTTACGAACAATTTTTTATTAAATCATTTCTGTATTAGATAAATCCTCGACTTAAATTAATTTATTTTTATGTTTTTAAATAGTTACATTTGAATCTATTTTTTTTCTTCTTTGTACTGAGCGCTCTATACGATATTCTTGGGCTTAAGTATTGCCTAGGGGATTTATATGTTCTTATACTTTGGTCCGATTTGGAATAGATAAAATGGTATATCTATGGCACGTACAGTTTTGATCAATTAATCTATAGTAATCTAAAGTATCTTTTGTAGATGATATGCTATCACTCTCTGATTTTCGTTTTTCTTTAACTCTCTCTCTCTCTCTCTCTCTCTCTCCCTCATTCTCTCTCTCTCATTCTCTCTATCTTTATTCTATATTCTATATTCTGTTTTGTCTCTCACTTTTCTGCTTACTCATTCACAATCTTTCATATCGCCTTTCTATGCGATTTTCATGAATTCAAGTTATGTTCCCAAGTTTTGATAAACAATTGTTAATTTACTAATCATTTGTTTGGAATAGGAAGGGATCTAGCTCAGGCGTTGTATATAAAGTGCTCCGATTTCAGCGAATGCTTCTGAGTGTGTTTATTTTAACTGAATAAACACGACTTTGTTTAGTGTAATCCTATCGTGGGTATAGGGTATTTTCTAATCGAGTAATTTTTCCGTCCCATTTCGACAAATACGTCATTGCAAGCGCTTTAGTAAATGAAAAAGATTATCTGTAGTAATAAGCGGACCAAATTTGATTACCTTGCCGAGTATTTAATGTAACATACGTATCTATAGATAATAAAGCTATTTTGATTAAGATACATTTTTATGAAAATCTTTTATAGTTTCTGGCAATTCGTCGGCTACTTCGAAGCCGCCAGTAAAGGCAAATTGTATCAATATAAATAGATATGTTATAATGGCCGATAATATTGTTGGTATAAATCCATTGTTCAGCTGAAGGATGCCCAGGACTTTGATTTCCAATTGCTGTGTTTGCAGCTGATTCAGAAAGGATTCCACCTGTTGCAATGGAGTTTAAATTAAGTATCTACCCTGACGCCATTTTAACTGGTTAAAGGGGTATAATGGTTTTGTGTTAATGTATGTAACGGGCATAGAGCACATTTTTATTAAAAACCAGGCTTGTCCGTGAATCTGTTTATCCGCATGAATGTGTCGAAAATTTAAGAGCTAAGGAATGGAAATTTTGAACTTAGGTTTCCAATCTTCGATAACATGCCCCGTTTCCAAAACACCAATAAAATTCGATAGGAAATTCTGTTGCTTTTAGCATATCTCGGAGAAAGCTAAGAGCTAGGGATAGATAATGTAGTATGGAAACTTTTGTAGGGTATTCACAGGTCCAGAACATTTCACCTTTTGCATACCTTCCCCGCTTCCACCAAAATTGTCAGAAATAAACTTAACTCTGAAGGTATACGGCTTTGATATCTACACTCATTTGAATGCCATATATGTGACACTGAAAACGATCGGACAATAAACTCCGATTCTACTCAAGAAAACATTGCCATAGTGTGGCTGAGGGATTGTGTTCGTGTAGTGATTGTGATTGTGATCGTACTAGAATGACAGCTCGTGGCTGGGTACAGGGTATTTTCTAGCCGGACACTTCCGACTAGAGCACTCTTTTTTGTTTCATATAATAAACTCACGCTCTTGTCCCAACGCTGGTCTATATCCGTGCAGACAATATCCAGCGGCAAGATCTGTGGCATTTGGGATTTCTTGATCGTGAAATCCGCACACATGATCAGGAGCACAATATTGGCCAGCTTGATGCAGACCATCAGCACGGGCACCAGTTCGCCCTGCGCAGCCTCCAAATAGTTCAGAATATACTCGTACAGCATAAGCAGCAAGACAATGAAATTGTAATAGATATAGAATAAGATCTGCCATTGGAAAATGCTGCGAAACGAGAGCGTTACGTTATACAGTTCGTTATAGATAACACCGCAAGCGTCCAGTTCATCGGCCCGATCGCAGAGCAGACACATGCGCCTATAATGGCTGAGGTGCGGCGGATGAGGATTCGACTGGGATTCGGCTTCGTCGTCCGACTGCAGCTCCTGGCAATCGATGTCAATGGAGCGCATTTCCCACAGCATTGTCGCAATGTGCGCGCCCATGTGCTCGTAGAGAAGGCCGGACACGAAGAAGCCGAGGAAACAGGCGTCCAGCAGGAAGAGCGTGCCCAGCCACAGGTAAATGGCGATCAGGCCGCCGATCACCTCGCCAATATCCAGCTGGACAATGTGCTGCAGCGGCAGCAGCTGCGGCACCTCGTAGAGGCAGCCGGCGACAGTCAAAAGCAATTTGAGAGCCGTAAAACTGATGAACTTGAGCGGAAGGAGCTGTTCGGTTTGGGTCAGCGAACAGATGCTGCCGTAGACCGCAATATAGCGATTCAGTATGGCCATGAATCTGGACTCGGCGCGCACTTGCATTATGAAGGAGCCGACCGCGAAGACGGTCACCGAGCCGGACTGCATCATGGCAATCAGTGCGGCATAGCTTTGGCTCGTCTTCACCGATCTAAAGATGCCAGGTATCATGGTCCAGTATATGTTGACCAATATGGCGCGCCACAGCACGATCAACAGACGGTTGCACTGATGCCGTGGCGCCTTCAGCTGCACCGGCTCCCGCTCCAGATCCAGCGAACTGGACAGCAGCGAAAGTCCGCGCGCGGCTTGGTAAAGCGCCAGCAGGAGACGACGCGAGCGGAGCTCCACGCGACCAACTGCTGTTGGATTGCACTTGGTCATGGCCAGGCTTGGACTGAAATTGCTGTACTGGATGTCCAGTGTCCTGGCCGCTGACAGGGCACAGCCGAGTTGTTGTTGCTGTTGTTGATTTCATTAATTGAATGTGTCTAGATATCGGCAATTGCGTTTCACGCTTCGCTGAGTGCCTCGCTGACTGATTAGCCGAACCCGGAGCTGGACACGGAGACGGACAGAGACGGAGACGGAGACGGAGCTCATCGCGATACGAGCATGCTCGCCCGTTGATGGACAGCCCCCCTCCCTTGTCCCACTTGGCACGCACATTGGAACAGATGTTGCTCAAAATAGGGCGTAAAATGATATTTCGATTTCTATTTTCGGTGCGAACTGGTTGCCTTTCCACGAAATTTAAAACTTGCGTAATTGAAGCCGTTTTTTTATTTATTAAAATTTATTTTAATATTTTTAATCAAAATTTGTTATTATATTTTTGGTAGGATTTACCTTCACTTATTCAGGCATTTTAGGAAAAATAAGGTAAATAGATCTTTTTTATATTTTTATTCAAAATTTTTTTTTATATTTTTGGTAGGATATGTTTTCATTTATTCAGGCATTGTAGAAAAAAGGTTCATCTATCTACAAGAAACATTTGCTGCAGTATATTTAATTTATATATAATAACAAATTTCATCCTTAGATAGGATGACAAAATATGCCTTTAAAATCCCTTTACAATATGCCCGGCAAAAATGCACCAAGGCACAGCCCGAGACAGTTTGAGAATGGAGAAGTTTTCAAAACTAAGTAAGAGGAATTTAGAAATCCGCTTTTATTTTATATTTTTTCCCAACTCAATATATTTATCGCTCCAATTGGTTTTTACGTGAAACATGCGAACTATCGTCTGGTTGTAAGTGGAAAGTTTTGCCTGATAACCTGGTTTTTACTCCAGCTTGACTTCAGATATCGTAATCTTCGTGATATGGGAGTTGTATTTTTCTTTTTAAAAAAACCTATAGAAAACCCATCATAGTTATTAATAAATACTACATTTGATTTGAAGCATAAGCAAATAATTTATTATTTTTACACAATTTTGACTCACTAATTAAATTTCATATTATATTAGCCATAATTGAAGTACTTCCTAAGCAATTCGAACCTAAAGTATATTTGCAGAGATTAGTTTTTTGGCGCTGGCGGTCATTATAACCATTCATTGATATTTATAATGGCTGTTAACTTAAATCTTATCAGGTAAGTACAAACAATTTAAAATGAATCAAAAATTCGGCATTTTGTGCCACAAACCGTTGATACCGACAATATTTTTATACCCTGAACCCATTAATGGGTGTATCTGTGCAAATGTATGTAACAGGCAGAAGAAAGCATCTCCGACCCCATCAAGTATATATATTCTTGATCAGCATCAACAGCCGAGTCGATCAAGCCATGTGGGCCTGTCTGTCCGTTTGTCCGTCCGTCTGTCCGACCGTCCGTATGTATGAGCGCAAAGATCTCAGAACCTATAAGAGCTAGAGACTTGAAGGCTGAAGGTCCTCCTAGTCCCTGCGCAGATCGAGTTTGTTTCCGATATTCGATAACTTGTCCCGTTTCCAAGTAATCGATAAAAATCGATATCGAAATCCTGTTTTTTCAGCAACTTTCGCAAATAATATGAGCTAGAGTCCCCAAACTTGACATGTAGCTTCTAGAATAGCATATATATATCTTTCATTTTATACCTCCCCGCTACCACCTCAAAGCTATAAATCAAGTTAATTATCCAACCTGTATTGCCCATCAAAGCCACAATTTATATGCAATTGCATTTTTGAGAATACATAAATATTCTTTATTCTATTCTACAATAAGATGTACTGTCGAAAATTTCATTAAGATCGGTTAAGAAACACAAAAGTTATGTGCGCACGTGTTAGCAGCAGCTAGCGCAAATTCCAAGAATTTCTGTATACATGTACACACACACACACACACACATATTCATGCGCTTCTGCTTTCCCGACTAGAACCTCTTACTTGTTGATTTTTACCATTATAGATGCCATATCTGCTAGCTTCTGGTAGAAAATGTCCCAATTTATTTCGCACGTCAAATTTGCCGGCAGTCATTTAAAATGGCTAAGAGGGCTATAAATTATATATATATACCTTATCAACAACAATTTAACAATTTAACAATTTCTTGATTAGAGTTGAGTCTATCTGTTTGTCCATCTTTGTAATCGCGTCGATATCGAAAGCTTTATAAGCTAGAGACTGGAATCCCATATCGATTAAAATCGATTTGAGACTTGGTTTTTAGGCATACCTTATCTATAATGGTTAGATATATACCAAAATGGGTATGTAGACTTTTGGATATATGTCATATATCCAGTATATTTCCCCTTTTTGGAGAAAAATCCCTTGTAATGCTAGAAATTTGGTATCTTTTTGGTATCTCCACATATTTTGGTGCCATATTTACATATGTCCCTTAAATTGCACGAATCTTTTCAGAACATATTTTCCATAATGTGAATAAGAGTAAAAAAGAAGAGATAGGCTTGGATTAAGCTTTTCCTGTTCCGGATCCGTAGAAACCTCACCGACACAGAGAGCAAGATATTCAAAATAGGAACAAAGTAGGAGAAAAGTGAATTTAGAGATTAGGAATTAAATAGATATTTAGTTAGAAAATGAATAAGCTTGATGTTGATTCAGGGTAACAATAGTCGGGCATACCCGGCTCTCGTACTCCGCCTTGTTCAATATGAATTTCATAACAATTTCAATTCACTCGCGAGCAATTATAAAGGTCCGATAGTTGTTGACGTTAGTTGTCGTTGTTGTTGTTGTTGTTGGTGTTGCACCTCCCACTGTTGCAAGTTGCCAAACACGTTTGCTGGACATTAGAATGTGACGCGGTTCAACGAACTGCCGCAAAGAGCATTATCCAGCTGGAGGAGGAAGTGTTGTATGCCCAAAGACGGGCAATAGAAATAACAAAGTCAATAGCCTTTAAGTTGCTGCCACAACAAGCCAGAACGACAACAACAACAACAACAACGACAGCAACAACAACAACAATCAGCAACAGGTCTAGGCTGGATGTTGTTGCTCCTGGCCTGATCATTGCCGCTGACAACGCGGCGGCAAGCAGGCGTGCAACAAGCCCTGCCACATAACTGGTTTTTCCGATGCAAGCCAAGCCTTGCCTTGCCTAGCCTAGGCCCGGCCATAGATAGATAGATAGTAGACTCTTATGCAGCGTCTACTCGTCCCAGTACAGCATCCTGCAACTGCAACCAGTTTACGTACAGTCCGATGCCCAGTTCCCGATGCCCGATGCCCGATGCCCGACTCTCGACTTTCCACTACTCATCGCGTCCGTGTTATTGCAGTCCAAGTACATGAAGTAATTGCATGGAGCAGACCTGACCCCAGCCGTGATGCTGCTGCTGCGGCTGATGCTGCTGCTGCTGCAGCTGGGGCTCCATCAACTGGCGGCCGGCCAATGAACTGCCACTGAAAAGACAATAGGAGCCGGGCCACAGCTCAAGCACTTGCCCGGGAGCTGACACTGCAGCGGGGCGGGGCAGGGCAGGGCAGGGCAGGGCAGGCTGAGGCCATCTGCTGGAGCCAGTGTTGTATTGCTAAATTGGAAATAATTGCAGAGACGCAGCAGCAGCAGCAGCAGCGGCAGCAGCAGAATGCACGTGTGCAGCTCTTGTTGTTGTTGTTGCTGTTATCGTTGTCATCAGTTGTTGTTGTTGTTGTTTTTGTACTATGACATAAAATACGAGACAAGAGCTGAACGAGCTGCAGGCAGGCATGGATAATATGACTAGAATCAGAGACAAGCAACAACAACCAAAACAACAACAACATGCGGAAAATGCTTGCGAATAATAACAACAATAATAGAGTTGTGCGCAATGCGAACTATAACAACAACAACAACAGCAACAGCGACAACAACAACAACAACAACAGCAGCAAAACATCATAAAGGAACAAGTTCAATGACATTAGAAGATTAGAGAGAGCATTCACGATACACAACAACAACAACAACAACGGTAACATGCACATTTGAATGCGCGCCTATGTGTGAGTGTGTATATATGTATGTGTACGTGTGTGTGTGTCAGCGAGAGATTCATCGAAGCACTTCGACGTCGGCGTCGCTGTCGACGCATGTTAAAACACAAAAAAGTCAACGACATCATATGGATTTTCGTTAAGTTGAACGTCAGGGAGAGTGTGGGGCAGAGGTTGAAGGAGTTGAGAGAGAAAACAACACAACGAAAAAGAATTAAAAGAACGCAGTCGGGGACAGGAAAATGTTTTTCATTGTGTTGCTTGGAAAAGCTGACTGACTGACGGGCGGACGCAGCAGGCATTGGATTCATTAGAGTTGCGGGAGACATGCCCCATGCGTTTGCATAAACAACAACAACAACAACAGCGACAACAACAACAACGACAACAACAATCGTTAAGTCTGGCCATGCAAATGATGCGCTCTGTCTGGCTGTTGCGACGTGATCCATTGGGGCCGGGCCGAGGCCGGGCCGGGCAGAGGCCGGGTGCCGCCACCCCAAAGGCAGCTTCACATTTTGGCGTGTGTTGCATAAAATGCCGCACTCGGCTGCGCTGCCGTCTTGCTATTTACAGATACGAAAAGATGCAACCCCTACATAGCTGAGAGGCGGCTGGCATTTGCTTACGTTTAATTTGGATATTTCATGACGATAAAGATACTGGAGCCAGAGAAATCAGAGACCCAAATGCGACTTCTGGGTGGGGCTATAGGGAAAACAACCAGAGTAAGTCGACTGCTGTATGCTCTCAGATTCGGACTCGACTTAGACAGGTGGCGTTTACTTTAGACAGATTGACAATTGTGTTTATAACTAATATATTAATAATTTGCCACACTTAAATTTTAAGAAAAATTCTAATTTCTTTCACAAGTAAAAGTTAAGTTCATTCTTTTTCTCTTTTATTACGAACGAAAAATATGTATGCATAAATATATAACTCATCTTCTCAGCAACTTAATGTATCTGAAAATGTGCAATTTAATTAATTAA